TCTTTCTTTCGCGCAATGCCCCTGTCTCAAATTCCAAGTCCATCGCTAAAAATCCTGTTTACACAAACCCCCCTGCAGAAAGAATGAAATTCTCGAAGTCAAACACTTCCCACCAAATACAAAAACGAAAGAAGTTGCCACCATATGCAAAAACGAAAAAGTCGAAGGGAAACAAAAACAGGTAGTGTCACAAAACTTAACAACCACTTGACCCATCGTCTCTCTATCGATTTCCCTACCCCGCCTGATCCAGGGGCTTAACCCATTGACAGCTCTGATCCCCCCAGACTCTGGCAGAGAAAATCACTATCGATCAGACCAAGAAAAATATCGTGATTGATTCCCGGGGAGGAAATGGGTCCTCTTGTTTTTCTTAGCACCCGGATGTCTCTTGCGCAGAGAACAGAAGTTTTTTGATCTGTGTTATCTTGGCACCATGTGTATTTGTTGATTTATCAAGCGCTTTTGTGGATGGAATATTAATGTGTTTGATGATTTTTTAAGAAGTGTCGGTAAAGTATGTTTCCTGCTTTGTGCCACGTAATAGTTTTGAACTAGGTAGTGTAGGTTTGACACATACTCGTTTTCAGTCTGTTACTGATTATTGAAAAGGTATCTTGTTTTTTTGGAAAAGAGAAACGTTCAGTTGGTAACTAAATGTGAATAAATTTGGAGATTTTGGAAATTGAATCTGAATTTGATGGCGTTACAAGGGACCATGTAAGTTTGAATGTGTCTTTTTTTTTTCAGTGATAGTATCAGGAAGCTACATAGTTTTTTTCTAAAAAATTGTGATTTGGGCTTTTTGAATTGCAAATTCTTGCTGTCTTTGACAGTAAAGGTTCAGTATTAAATGCATCATTTTATGTTTAGCACCTGTGTTAGGATGATCATGTTATCAGTTTATGATTTCGATGATCATTAGTGCACTGTTTGACCGATCCTAGATTTTACTTTGCTTTCAAAAGAAACAAAATCAGGTAATCAGAAGAAGGTGTGTGTACGAAAGTTGTCAATGTAGAGAAAAGATATTTGCCAGTTTCAAAGTCGAGCCTGGTTTGCATTTTATAAACTGAATAATTAATTAACATCGATGATGAGTTTTGTTTCTGAAAGACAGTCTACAGCTATGTTATGAAACCTTTAGGTTTGTGGAAGGGTGGTGTGTGTGTGTGTGTGTGTGTGTGTGTGTGTGTGTGTGTGTGTGTGTGTGTGATG